AGAAATACTACTTAAATTAATTGTTTACAAACTGGAATTATTTCGATCATTCGTTTCAAAATGACGTTTTCATTTAATACTATTCATCGTTGATCGTTACGATTAATCGTAAAGAACGACGCACACTTAAGTATCCTACGTGACTTTCCATGCAACGCGCTTCGCGGTCCCAGTCTCGGTCAGCCAAACTATTTGACGATTTTTTCGACAACTACGAGCATGATTCGAAATAGATTCGGTTTATAAGATCACAATAAATCCTCTCGTTGATCGCAAAACATTATAAATCAATAGATTCGATTACCTAAAACCCACTCAAACGTGATACGTCATGTCTTATGCGAATTATTTTTCCGACCGACATCGTGACGTACGAGAAAAAAAGATTTGTTGCAAAAGAAGCCTCCATGATCTCGCTGCTAGCTCGACATCGATCTACTCGGAATGTTCTTGATCGTACCAAATCTACGGGGCGTCCGAACGCGTTCCGCTCGATTGAGGCTCGATACTCCGCGGTTAATCATTCTTAACTATTTTTCGCCTTGATACATGAACTATGAAATTTCAATTTTTATTGGATAAGGCAATTTCTTGTAAATGTACGATCCACCGCGGACATGATTAATCTTTGTTATTCAATCGAACCACGTTGCGACGACACCAAAATACTCTAGATCCTACAAAATCAACGGGCGCCAAATATTAACAGATCTCTGTTACCTCCTGATTTAACAGCTGTGCACTTCGGGAAATTGATGAAAATCGCAGGCTCGGTATAACACGCGTACGATACTTGGTGAAACACGCAGACTCTTTGATTTCTGTCGTTCGTCGAGAGCCATTCGTTTATAGATCGTCATGCAATGCCACATGGTTCGATTGTCGTTTGTTCATTCGTGAAGCGGACATTTATACCTGTAGATGTCTATGCAAATAAGGCATTTTTTATGGACTATTTTAATGGAAACAGTAATCGGAGGAAATATTAGTTTTATCTATTAAGAGGTTTATTAATTTACTAAATTAAATAAAGATTTCATTAAGGTCGTGTTTTTATTGTGTTATATATGCATATAAATGCATCAACATCCACAGTCTACTTATAACTAACGATCAGGCTGTTGCACATGAAGCCTCGGTTTTCAAGAACTATAATATTTAAATTACGGTTACAAACGAAAATTATTTACAAACTAAATTTAATTTGTGTTAAATCAAAACTTGCACCCCATTGGTTACACGCGATGTATCATTGTGAGCTTGAGCTTAGGAATTCAAAATTTAAATTGTATATTAAACATATTCCTCCTAAAAACTATTACATAACGAACAAACAACATCGTTAAATAAACAGGCAGCATTCAAAGCTTCTTATAAGGATCGATTCCAAATTCGAAGAAATGCTTTAGAGGATTCAGAATGTTATAACTAGACTGGATCTTTATGCAAATTCAGATTTTCATGGACAAACTTATGAAAACAAGAATTACGTACATACTTGTTCCTTCCGTCAATCTTTTACAGAGAAAAGAAAAAAATACAAGGTTTACTTCGGACTTGTTTAAAATTATTATTGTGTTCTGCCATAAATGCATAAACTCCGCAGTCTATTTATAACAACGTTAGAAACATACTAAAACTTTATTTAAAAATTCATCAACAAACTCATTAAAAATTTATTACAATATAAAAAAAGTCAGTCAAAGTTCGCAAATTTCCGTGCAACAACCTAATAACAGTGAATTTTACTGGGTGCTTCCAATTTGATTGAACAACTACGACAAAAAAACTATAGCGGATCCCTGCAATCCACAATGATCTTGGAATTTATTTGGCTATATAACGTGCACGTATCGTTATAACTTCAAACACTTTGTGATATTATTATATGCATCATCTAAACGTGGTATACTGGAATTAATGAACATGCTTCATAACTATTGCTAACGTTAAACATTTCGAAGAGATATGGCGAAAATGTGGATCGCAAGGGATAAAGAAATGAAACGGAAAACGGCACCGCGATAAGCGTAACTGGAAAATTCGGGAAAGGCATTCTGGAAATAGATCTAGAAAATCTATTACGATTTCTTAAAATTCGATGCCTGAGATCTCTACGGAAAGCGTATCTAATCTTTATCTATTTCCACGATCGGATAGCCGTGCAACGATTACAATCATCGATCTTGATTATACGCGTCGATTGATGTCAGTTAATCCTCGTACGTGTGCTGGAACGTGTAAATGTGGCCAATCTTGGTCACAAAATGGGATTTGCAAGCTTGACACTATAAAGCTAGCTTTCACGTGCTTGCTAAAATGTCATCGATTCAACCGAACTAATAGTAACAAGAGTTTCATTGATAAACTGACACCCTTTTGATTAACACAATGATGTCAGTTCAACTGTCAAGATTAATACAAGGAATCAGTGTAACCGAAAGCATGACTTATCAAATCAGATAAGATGGCAATGGTTTAACCGAAGTAACAGTACAAAATCTATAAACTAATTTTGATTAATTCCATTAACGAAATGGCACCCTCCTAGTTAATACAATGACGACATTTTAACTGTCAAAGAAAGAAGTCGATTCGACCGGCACAATGGCGTCGAGACAGCTCATAATGGGGCCAATACGTCCTACCGAATAACATCCAAATTCGGGAAAATGGCGCCAACGAAAACGACGTTTCCATTACGACACGTACGAGTTAATTAACGATATTTTGGTTTTACAGTAGCCACGTTCCCCTGTCTGACGCGTGCAGGTATCACGATTAAAAATTCACTCGGTCGCAGCATGCTCGACAAGGACACGCGCGCAGTCGCTGGAAAACGTCGAGGATTTTCCGGACCTCGTACGGCATGGCTCTTGAACATTTTAACACGTTGCTCAGAATGCGTGAGAACGTTTAGAATGTGTGGTTCATGCTTATTTGAAATATTACCACTTTTTTTGTGCTGTGAAAACGTGTATCTCCTTGTTTCACACTAATAACATCAACGAACGTGTAAATAGCTATAAAAACGAATTAAAACGATACTTGAAACACCTCACGGATTGTAGCTACATAATATTTTAATATTCGATATTCTTTTACGTTTATTAAAAAAAAACACGATGGCAATGCAATATCTAGACTGCGAATGTTTATGCAAATTTAAATCCTGTTGGACTAATGCCTGAAAAAGGAAATTTAACGACAATTTGATTATCCGATGAAAGATTTAGTGACGATAAAAAATAAAATTATAACATTCTACATGTTTTTAGTTCCACAGTTAGTAATGGTACTTGCAATCACTAGTTTCATATAAAATGGTCACGACAGATAAATATAATGAACAAATAGGGTATCAAGTTAAAGTTACTGTGACCTTTTTTGTACAAGTTCTTTTCAGTTAATATAACGTTGCAATAATACGTTGAAAAACAAATGGTCATAAAATTAAGGCACCATAGCTCTATAATATTTTACATATTACTAAGACACTACAATTGATTTAAATTTTTCAAGGCCTAATTTTTAATACCACAAAGAAAAATTAAGGATACTTAACAATCTGTAAAATAGTACCAACATCAATATGATTAAAATGGCTATTTATACACATAGAAAATTCCCTTTTTATAAATTCCTGATAGAGTTCATTCGAGATTGATGCCTTTTTGAAAGAAAAAGATAGAATTAAATATATTTCCATATACTTGACTTAATATCGATATTATTATTGTAAATTCAAAATATAGGATGTGAAACAATACAAAAATAAGTATATAAACACTGAACTACAAAATAAATTTTCAATCCAACATATTCTCTCTTATACTAAAGAGGAACGGCGTACAGTACTGGGAAACAGCAAATATTACGAAAGTACTCTAGGAACAAATACGAAATTTAGTAAAAAAAGTAATGAGTTAATCAATCATGACCACTCGTTTATAAACATAATTCCGATACACGTTAATACTTGATTCACACGACTTCAAAAGAACAGTCCGACGACACAGCGCTTGCTCGATAAAAAAATGTACGTTCCCGAAACTGTTCCTTGAAGTGAAACACATTTTTCACGGCCGGCAATTCGTGAGGTGTTACAAAGAGCTAAAAAGAAAAATACGAAACGCGGCATAAAACAGGGACGAGCGTTAAAAAGGAAAAGATAGAATGATTAAAATACAAGAGAAGAACGGCACCGAGAAGCTCGATGAAAGTGCTTCGGTGTGCAGGTCGCTTGTCACGCGAAAGCCGAAGGAGCCAAGTAAAAGAAGGAGAAAGAAAGCGGAAGAGAAAAGGTTAACTCCAGAACCATTCGGTACGAGGTTCGCTAAGGACGGCATAAAAAAAAGAGACGAAAAAAGGAAAGCGGCAAAACGACACGCGGATGTATGCGGATTCCGTGCGCATCCTCCAACGACCGCATACGGCCTATACAATATTCAAAAGTGCGTACAAATATATACATGTAGATATATATGTGTATACGGTGTATAGATCGTAACAAACATGATAAAAGAAAGGTACACAAAAAAAAGCGAGCCGCGAGGCGGTCCGTCATCAATAAAAATCAACCAAAAAATATTCGTTACGTGTAAAAATACCGACGCCTCTCTCTCTCTCTGTCTCTCACTCTCTCTCACTCACTTCTCTCCCCCCCTCTCTCTCTCTCTCTCTCTCTCTCTATTTCTTACTCCGTTGCTTTTCACTGGTCAATCGTCGCTTTCTCGGTTGCCATCTATCGTCGGACAAAGAAACGTCAACCTAACATCTCTTCTGGCCGATCTGTCCGTCTATCGCCGAATTTCTGAACGATCCTACGCGAAAGGAGCAGCTTCTTGCGATCATATCGTGAATTCAAGGGATGAAATTTATATCGATCACGTATGTAGGACCACTGCCTTAATGCTTTCTCCCTTCGTTCGAACGCACATCGAAGAAGAAGATGTCATTGTTCGCGTTTACTCTCGCACGAGTTCAGATACACCGTCTGGATTTCTTACCAAAGATAAGTAACTTTATGGTGGATAAAACGCGACGAATCTGTCGTCTCGCAACACCGCCATGATCCTCGCCCTAGCTGAGATGAGGTACGCACGACTCCACGAAAACGAGGCTCGACGACACCTCGACAATCAGAACGAACGCACACGCGTGACAGCTGTACGGCCACGATTGGAGGAGCACGATGAACATCTACTCACGAGACATCCTTCCTCTCTTCCACGCTTTCCTCTCGGTCTTGCCGGTTGTTGTTGTTACTGCTGCTGCTGCTGCTGCTGCTGCTGTTGTTGCTGGTCGAAATTTACTCGGCGGGGGTAACGGGAGATTTTTTTTCGTTAACGGGTGGGTCAGGTCAGAGGAACGTTTCACCCGAGGCCGGCCCACTGCATGAAGTCGGGCACTTCTCTGACGGGAACGTCCCTCGCCAGTGCCTTCACCCTCAGGTTTCTGTCCTCCGTTAGCAAGACTACTTCTCTCCTCAGACGTCGCGGTTGGCCTTCCTCTACGGAAACAAACAAGGTAACGAGGATTTTTATTTCGACGACTTTATTGTTAACGGATTTTTGTCGATGGGATAGATCCAACGCATATCGATGATGTTTAAACAATTTAATAATAAAGTATTGACAAGGAAATTTGGATAACCTGAAAAGTCTGATTTTTTGAATTTTTGTTTTTCTGCAGGGGACCTGGATAACAGTGCCAGACAATGTTTTTATTTGGTTGCTTTTCGGCCCTTCAGGGTGCAAATTACCTTAATAATTAACTTTCATTGCGATATGAAAGTGAAGAAATTAGTTAATTTGTAAATTCGTAAATTTTACATAGTTTGTCATGTTTATCGACCGAAAAAGATATGCGTTTATCGTCGGTAATTCTAATGGTAAAGGTTAATGAGTGTTTTTCTATTTTCCTGTATATCTCGAAAACTATAGTATATATAATAAAACAATTGTTAGAGTAGGAATTTAATGACTTTACATATATGCCCTCTAAGACCGTGTGCTGAAATTGTTAAAAAATTGTTTAGTTATATATTTAATAAGAAATTTTAGCGATTTCGTTGCACAATTTTAGACAGCATAAAAAGCCATTCATTTTTCAGTGTAACAATTTGTTCATATCTACTACAGTTTTCAAGATATACCTATGTACATATAGGGAAATAGGAAAACACATTAACCTTTAACATTAGAATTACCGACGATAAACGCATATCTTTTTCGATCGGTCGATAAACATGACAAACTATTAAAAATTTACAAATTTACAAATTAACTAATTTCTTCACTTTCATATCGTAATTAGTAGCAAAAAAATTTGACAAAATGTATTGTTATAACACTTTAATTATCGTTATAAGAGTGTACTGACAAGTCACTTTTACTTGTTTGGTAGTTCTAGTGTTAAGGTGTGTTTTCGACCCGATGAAACGAAAAGTAGTAAAAAAACATTGCCTAACACCACTGTCCACGTCGCCTGCAAAAATGCAAAATTGCCAAAAAATAAGATTTATTAAATGGCATTCCAAGCTCAAACACTTGGTCTCGATTTTCGATACCGATATGTTTTATTAGTAATATCAATCATTATCAATACTGTACTAACGCGGTAGGTATATTTCAAAGTATTAAGTATTTTCAAGGAATTTTTCTAGTACTTTATGAATACATACATTTAGGAAACTTCTAATAATTTGTATTAATTTATATAATAATTTTGTATTAGCTATGCTGTGTTAGAATAATTCATACACTATGAAATATTTTAATCATGAAAAAATATTTTATTTACAATATTTTTAAGTGTATTATTTATGCAGTCTGTATATTTTCTCACATTTTCCTCCCGACATATAAGAGAACCTATTCTTCTATCATAATGTATGAATTAATACAGCTTTCCTTGTAAGTGGTCAAGTAAGGACCGCACAAGATGAACGAAGTAACGTGAGGATTGAACTGCGGATGTTTATGCAACATTTCAATATTAGGAGTATTTTACTGAAACTAGAATCGAATAGAAATTACTTTGCTTCTTTAAGGTCTTTATCAGATTTCAAATAAAATAACGATACAATAAGACATTATTAAAATTTTTACTGTACTATACTTAATGCAATATTGTATTCTGTAGATGCATGAATGTTAGAAACAAATTGAAAGACAATCTCCACCGAAGATTAATGAAATCCGTATTTTATTTCTAACGCAATGAACTTCTAAAGCGCTTAATAATTTCAAAATAATGAATTCTTAAAAATGAAAAATCGTATAAACGTCTGATGGTTATTTATAAATTACTATACTGTAAATTTAATTTTGTGAATATACAGGGTGGGGCAATAACTATGAACATTGCCACTTTGAATATTGCCGTTATTTGTAATAATATGAAAAAAATGTTATATACAAAACTTACACGGTATAGAGGGGGGCATATTGTGACACAAACAGTTTTTACGTGGGTGAAGGCATAGGGGAGATATCAAGGTCATCTCTATTTTTTTTTAATGAAATGCTATGTTTTTTTTATCGCGATGTGATAACCGGTGTTGAAACAGCTTCAGCGAGCTATCATTGAAGGTCATTGCAAGGTCAAATGTGGTAGTAAAATAAACTTTCGTACATTACAGGAGATGCTCGAACTGGTGACTGTTTGCGTCAATGCAAAGTTGCAATCTTCGTATCGCTGCATCACGTGCATGTATACTCATAGCAAATAGGAACACGCAACATACAGTAAAGCGAAAACTGTGTTACACTTCAATGATATTTTTACATTATACTCAATGTGTCTTCAAACTTCGTTTTATATTTAACGTAATTAATATTAAAGAAAAATTTAATTTCTATGTTTGTAAATTATGTTATATATTGACATATATTGTCTACTTTACATATATCGAAAACATGAAAACAAACAATAATAAAAACTTCATTTTGAACCGAACAAACCCGTCAATAGAAAAAGTAAATTTTTATATAATTACTGTATTTTTAAAATTACTCAATAAAATACGAATTGACAGAAACGTCCACAGTCCACTCATCGTACGGATCACAGTCCACAGCGTGAATCACAAATCAATCGGTGATTATCGTGTTTTCAATTAGCGCACCAAGTCCCAGCGGCACTGATTACATTAGGTGTCGTTCCCGGCACCGGGAAGAAGCGAATAATTAGTAGTACATTAGGTGATAAATGCTACCGCGGTAGAGATTGATAAAAGGCGAGGCGTGTCGTTTTTCAGCACGGTAACATCCCCCCCCCCCCCCCGATAACGGTTAATCTACGTGTAAACGAGAATTACAATCGGCACGGTATTAATCACTATCAGAGCCGTAGGAAACCCTGAAACGTGGCCGTGGTATGTATACATGTATACACCGAAGAGAAATGCGCGCGTTTGTGTACGTACCTGCATTTACTTGATCTTTGTTACCCGTTTTGCAGAGGCTCAAGCACGTAGCCAGTATTCTGTCATCGTTCCTTGTCAGCCCGTCCTGCAACAGAATCCCAGATGGTGCTTTATTATTTGCGAAATGACACGTGTCAGCTTTGCGCGAATCTTAATGGCCGACTTCATCCAGAGAAGCCTGTTATTTTTTTTTTTTTTTTGAACGATATAAGAATTCATTGAATTTTTGTTAGGAAGCTTCTGAAATTACGAAACAGGGACAAATTGTACTTTACGTCTAAATGATGGTCTTGAAAATACAGACTTTCCTGGGGATTTTGTTAGTATTAACTATTTAATTATACTTGAGTCTTGACAATCTTTGATGATTTAGATATGTTGTGTGTCCTGAAGGGACGAAATCTGCAATCTGTTTATAATAAACGATGAAATATTAGGTGCACCAGTAAGTAATCCACTATTTCTTGACGACATCTGTATCGGCTTTTACCGAAGCCAAGGATCTATGTATACTATTTAATTGTATTCGTAACAATTCTCCAACATCCTGCACTCTAGTTTTCTTCAGCGGAAAATCGAGAAAAATATTATCAATTTAAAATATACCGTTTTATAATTTAAGAACATAGTGGATTATTTATTGATACACCCAATGATTTTGAAATAGATATTCGAGAATAATAGCTTTCATTGATTTGTATGTTTGGTTATAATTTTATTATTATTTCTATTACTTCTTTTACTAGTAGAACTACTTCAAAATATTGAAAATAAATTAAAACGGATGATGGATTAAGATGATCTCTATGTACATATTTACTCTCGAAAAATCTTAAGCCAAACTCGAAGATAAACTTTATGAAACTCCATCCATGGTTTTGGTACCGATTACTATTTTAATAAAAAAAGATCGAGCAAGAAGACTTCAATAAATAACATTTTCCGAAAATTAGTTTCAAATTTAGAAGTTTACTTTCAAGAACTTAGGTGTTCAGTAATAACTGTACATACATACATACCTACAACATTTAAAAAATATATTCTCAAAATTTTTAAAGTTGAATTCCAAAAAAATGAACAAGTTGCAAACTGCGTGTTTCTCGAAACTATGTGTTTTAAACTGGCATGCACGATATCCAAAAGAGTAATATATTAATCAATTTCGGACGGTGTTCATTCAGTTTCTTACAAATTTTTCTAGGGATTAGGCATTAAACTTTTATTATACATTTGATTCATAATATTTTGTTAAACAATATAAACTCATCATACCTGCCGAAAAAGAATAAATTCTTCTCTTAAACGCTACAACTTTTCTAATTCTTCAGGTTTCCCTTTCAAAATAGGCATAACCCTAGCATAAACTATCTAACTATAAAACAATTACTTAGACCTTCCATTCTGTTAACTCTGACAGATGCTACACTGCACGCTGACATTGTTACATCGTCGACAACTATCACAAGACTTGCACAATAAATAATAAGAAGAATTGAAACGAGAAAAATTATTTTTACGCTCTAAGACTTTCTTTTTACATCCCAGGAAGGTGTAGTCCAATATCAGCAGTAGTTACACTAAACAAAATTCATAAGTAAATCAGCCCGCGAACGATAATTCAGTGTCTGCACTCGGTGTGAAAGTTTCAGCACTCTCAAGAAGTCGAACAAAAGGAGAAAGAAAAATAGGATGAACGGTGTGAGAACGGACGTATAGGCGAGAAGAAAGAGGAAGAGGCGACGCCCGAGTCGCAGGGTGGCTGGGCGCGGAGAATAAAATCTAACGAGCTCGGAGCGCACGTTATCTATCGTTTGACAGATCAAGGTTCCTGTTACGATACTATCCTACCCATGTATCCTGCATGTTACCGACGAGATAAGCGGCTGACCGAGATGCGTGCTGCGCCAGAAGTTACCAGCGCCGCGAGAAGAATTTATCTGTACACCAACGTGGGGGTTCTCGTATACTCAAACCCTTATCATAACATTCGCGCTTCAATGAGCACCGGTCAGTCCCTGCTTGCGTTTTTCGCCTGTACACAAGTCTTGCCTGATACCCCCATAGTATCTTCCATGGGTAATTTCGGTTAACGTAAGATACTGACAATCTCTCGTTATGTTAAGAATAATGTATACTACCGTTCGAAAGCTTCAAATCACTGACTATATTCGTAACTTTTAAAAGATAACACACTGTATCCCAATGTTTCCTATCGTCAGCAATACCACCTTTCTGTATGGTCATACAGGGTGATCCATTGCAAATCACCGTATTATCTTTCATTTGGTGGACAGTATAAAAAAATATTCACGTGAGTTAAAGTACTGTGGTAGTATACAGGGTGTTCGTGCTATTACTAAGTTGACGTTGTTCTCGCAAATGGTAAATATTAGAGAAAATAATGGGAGACAAAATTTTTGCAGTTTTCTGTGACCAATTTAACAGCGTATATCAACCTTTTTTATATTTGCAATATTTGTCGAAAAACGAAGGTGATCTTCCATTTTTTAAATGGAACGCCATATAGTTTTTTATGTCACACGAAATCATGTTACAAGACGAATTCATCCATGTACTACATTATGACCTTTAAGGTTACCTACTATGATAAAGCTTGTGCTCAGTTGAATAATTTGTCGCTTATGATACAAAATATAACGACTGTACCATGAAATTATTTCAAAATCAAAATGCAACTTCAACAAAATCATTTATTACGATACAAATCGGGCGCACATATGGGTTTATAGCGCGCATTGAATAGTTGTTTTGGGACATATAAATGGGATACAGCACAAGATGAACAATTTTTCGAAATTTATGCATGGGTTCGTAGCGCTAAAAGGGTTAATAGTAATGCGTGCCAGTACGCAATGAGTAGAATATGTGTATTATGTTCACTACAATATAATAAGTAGTTTTGGAAGTATGCCGATCACGGCCTTGTTAACCCCTTAACGCGCACGCTCGAGTTAACTTGAGCAGCGTGGACTTTTATGTTAATGCTACCGCGGTAGAGATTGATAAACACGGGCAATGAAAAATAGTCCCAAGAGAGTCATGGCTGCATAAAAGAATTATTATTTTAATATTTGCATAATTAACTCAATTTTCAATCATTTTTGCAACTTCTCGCGAGCTTAACATATCATGAGTATTCGCATACATCCACCGATAAATACAAGCGTCGAGAGAGTGGCTTTTCAAAAGTTTGCTTTATTTACGACTGTTATTATTTCAGCAATCATATTCATTCAATGTGGTCCTGATACAGAATAAGGTAAAATTCTTAATTTTTGTAATCCTTACAGTCACTGCAGTTATTGCGCCTACATTTTTCGCATATAACTTGAAGTAAAATTAATATTCTTGATTAAACACTTTTTTTGTCCCGATATGTATGAGTATTTTACAAAAAATATGTTCACATAATGATTTCCACGAATAAAAAATAGTCATTTTTTTAACGATTTTTTACAATAAAAGCGCACGTTAAGGGGTTAAACCAGCGCTGGACAGCGTAGGGGCACCGCACGCGCCTGTTTCCCCTTCCAACCTTTCTTTCGCATCGTAGAAACAAAGAAGCACAGACTCTTGTCTCTGTCACTCCATGGTAACGGTGGACGATGGTGGGGACAAGTTTTAGCTCCCAGGAGTCAACTTTGCCCACCGCTGGGTTAACACTTTGACTGCCACGTCACCCAAATATGGGTGACACGTACATTGAAAAGTGTCTGGATTATTTAAACACTGTTATAAAATGTTTGCATGAAATTAACATCACAGTATAATTTAAAACAATACATACAGCCTCTATTAACTAAACTCAAATATTTTCGACAATTTATGACTTAAAAAACGAAATAAAGTGTATCTGGCTACGGGCGGCCTTTTTCACTGTGGCAGTCAACGTATTAAACAGACGGTAAGTAGTATTAACTACCCAGTGTCAGACAGTAACTAACTACGGAGCAATCTACTTACCTTGTCAACGTCCTCCTCCACGGTGAAAGTGCTAGATGTAAGGACAGTTCCTCTCGTGGTTAAGCACCGGATCGCTGGATTTCTGCTTCTGGCGAAAGCCAGCGCCGCTTTCGCGCTCTCAGCTACCCTGGCCACGTGCTCTGGATCCAGAGCCGCCCTCGAAGCCGGAGGACAGTCTCTAGCATCCGCGCCCCTGGCTAAACCCTCGAGCTCATTCAAAACTGAAACAAAAAGTTGAAACATTCGATTGGATACGTTTCAATCTAAAAAGACCATTGCAGACATAGTTTCTAACTGTTTCCGCTTCGTAATAATATTATACCATTCGATGATTATTTACCCCCTTTCTACTCGAAAACTGTTTTAGCTATGGAGAACTAACAAACGTAGCTTTTTTTCCGTAGGACACTAAAAACACGACGAACTTTTTATTAAATAAACATATAAAGAGATAGTAAGACTAACCTTAAAATAACAGGGTATCGTGAGGTGCACGTTAGCCAAGTATTATTACCAGATAGACTAACACGATACAGTTACGCATCTACAGTGTGAAAATAAAGAATCGCGTGTCTGTACCGCCCGTGATACCTCCCGTCGTGAACATGTTAAAGGTAAATTAGTAGTCTTCTTATATCGATAAAATAATCACCAAAATCAAAATGCGTATTAACAGGCCATCAGTTAGTACAGTGTTAAATTTACTATTTCCAACAACTTTATGATCAGACGAATTTTATTGCCAAAGCACTTGATCGATGCTTAAGTTTTTATATTCAGAATAAATTTTAAACATATAGTACATATTGTGGATTTAATCATTTTAGCAAATGAATGTCACAAATAAGAGTACATAATAAGAAAGAAAACAACTGAAGATGTGCAATATGTTCTAGTACGCCTTAATATAATAAATATTACAACCCTTAGAATAGTATCACAATGTTCTATTATTATTGTTCGCTATTTTTAATGCCACAGTCTTTAGTTCAGAATCAAATACTTATTATTTTATCATCGAGGTATTGACACGAAGTAAGGAACTTTATTTTTTCCTTGGTAGAATGCACTAATTTCAAACCAACTCGTTGGAAAAGTTTTTTCATTGGGCACCGTGGCCCCAGGAAAAAAAACATTAACACGGAATCGTGAACGAAGGGGCCTTAACAATGTTTATTCAAACTTTGTCGGTCGACCCTCGCGGAGTGAAGGTACCACTAATGAACTTTCTGCCGAGGTGTTTGGGGGAGACTACATAGGCAGTCGAACTTCTTGCCCACAATTGAAGTTTGATGAAAAATTTATAAACTGGCTGGTGGAAGACCCAGAATGTTCATAGAGAAACTTCATTCCCCATGCACAAATAATAAACGCATTACAATATATAAACAGCCTAATAATGTAAACAAAAGATGAAGACCAAACAATTGATTACAAATCACTAGACTGCGGATTTTATGCATTTATAGTAAATGTGAATATGAGGAACACAATACATCAAAAATGTTCATAAAGATTACTATCAATTTTCCTTTACGTTGGACATTAGAAAACCTTCAATAAAGGAAACAAATTTCTGACATACTTTCAGCTCGGTATATTAATCTATAAAAATGTGAAATTGCATTAAGATTCGTAGTCTACATATCACCTATTACAGTGAAGATAAATTAATATTTTGTAGTAGTTGTGTGTCTGGGACCTTACGAACACTACAATGTTTCTATTATGGAACGGTTTGTATAAACTAATTTCAAGTTTCTGTTGTTAATTGTAGAACAATCACTCACGTCACATTAATTTCATTTTGTCTCAATATTTCTACGAGGAACATTTGGGGGATTCAATGTTATCAGTGTTATAATATCGTACTTGTTAAATATATACAGTAGTATTTTAAACAATGCCTCTTAAACAAAAATGTCACGAGGAAAAGTTATAACATCAGCAAAAATTGGTTTTCAGGGAAACGAAGGATGTATACCTAATTCGTCAATGTTCATGATTATTCTCCAACATCCCACGCCATTTGTACCAAGAAAAAATCGAAAAGATATTGACTATAAAATACAATGTTATAATTTCACAGAAAACAGTGGGTTATTTACTGGTGTATCTAATGTAAAAGGGAAGCATCGAGTGCCATTTAAATTAATAATAATCTGAAATCAAGTATGAACTAATCAACGATTGTGTGTGAACTACTAGCCATTAAACAATGTAGTAGACGATACAATAACTGAAAATTGTAGCATTATCAGTTATAATTTAAGCTATTCTAAAGAGGAGATTAAACGATTTTTTAAAAATCGAATCTACTATTCATACAGGTGACAAATAATAATAAGTCAAAAAAGATGTGCTTGCGCCAAGGAAAATGGTCATTTTCGACACAGATGTACTCTTTTCTTAACAACCTAATTACCGCGGTTTGGTTTCTATCGGTCATTACTGTCTCATAACATTCGGGTATTTTCACTTATATTTTTAAATCACATACCATTATAGAAGATTAAAAATAGGAAAAGTCTGGAGGTGTAAGCTCCGATGAAAAAAGTAGGGTACTCCACTACTACGATCTATATTTTATCCAGATATCTCTGTACAGAAATCTTCCTGCATTGAAACGATTAACCCGAGTTCACCGGAGCTCCACTTTAGTATAACTCGAATACCTGACGGATCTAAAGTCTGTATTCTGTGAGGATTTGCGAAGTCTTTCTCGAAATAGAGCGTAGCTTCAGGAATAATATATGAACGTGTAATGGTACGATATCGGCCATTCTAAATGGAAAATAGAATACGAGTTCCCGAGAGAAACGGCAGGAAGTGAGCAGTCAATAAGTAATGAACGAGGAATTTCTGGCTCTGTTGGCCCGGCTCACTATTGGAGGATATTCCTACGATGACATTTCTAGTTACTCACGCAGTATCGATTCAGAACTGAAAATACAACAAAGTTAGACGCGATTTCACGTAAATAAATATTCGTTGCACAAATTCATTCGGTTTATTTTTTTTACAACCATCAATGTTTGTTTATATACAAAAAATCAAATACAATTTCAATATTCGGAATAATCTCCATTATTTTCTATGCCTGTGCCCCAATTTAGTGGACACCTGATGAATATTTTTCCGAAAAATGCGTTCTCTCACTATACATCAGTTCAGGGGTCGCAAACTGTGGCTCGCGAACCAAATGCGGCTCTTTGGGTACTAACATGTGGCTCTGAAGTACAATTAAAAATGAAATTACAATCAATAAGAGCAATTTTTCTGAGAGTTTTTCTTCATTTAATAAAAATATAATTAATATTATAACTTGTTATAATGTTACTTTAAATTTTCCTTATTTATAAGAATATATTTATAGCTCTCAAATAATTTTTAAATTGTTGTAATGGACAGGTTTGGCTCTTCCGTCTCAAAAGTTTGTCAACCCCTGCACTAGTTATTGATAGATTAAATTATCCTGAATTCATGGTTATTTTATTGAATTTCCATGTTCAAGCTCAAAACGTTCATTATTAGGATAATATAATTGCAAAATGGTTTATTTCAATTCCTATTAACAAGAATAAACGTATAAATGGAATAGTCACCATCTGAGTAACTATTATAGGTATTATTAAACATGTCTACACAATCGGAAATTTTACTGTTTAGGAATGGGTATTGTAATAGAATATAAAATTAATATAATTAGTAGTGTTTAATCTATATCGGAAATTGTGTTACTTAATTTAATTTAACATTGTTCGTCGTCAATGAATTATATAATCATTAATGAATCAGTAAATTTTCAGGAGTAAATGCTTCATATTATAAACAGACTATGGATTTCATTTATTTGTTGCATTTGCAAAAGTGCCAACCGCGATACAATAAAAACCCAAATGAGTATATACGAAATCTTTCTTTTCATTTTCAAGCATTCATCTCCTAAACAGGAATTACAAAACCTACAAAATAAATTTTATAAAATTCTCCAAACACTTGTGCTCACAAAATAGTCTTCAAGAATCTAAATCCACACGAACATTCACAATTCTAATCGCTGAAGTTACTGAAAATGGTCATAAAATCATGACATGATTTAATAACAGAATTGAACGTGATTTATAATCGTAGACATCTTTCCATTCAATGGTATCGTCTAATTTGTTTCCAATTCTTCGTTTCTGCCGCTTAAGCGGTACAGATTCCGTCGTGACGCCGCCGACCGACGCGACGTTTAATACTAATCAGGAAGCGGAGTCGCGCGATGCACGGAGAAACAATTTCAGAGTGTCTCTGACAAGCGGTAATTGGACTGTCCAGAGAAGTACGTGACAGAATTCCGCGCATTTCACCACGCTGTTCGCAACTGGATTTTAAATAATCCTTACATTTCTATTCGACATCGCAATTTTATTGTGGTCCCCGATTTCCCGTTTTCGAATACACCGCTGCGACCTGACACACTTCCATTAGAACAAATGCATAAACAATAAACTAGAAACAGCTGATCTTTATGGTTGAAGTTAGAAGAACTTTCGTTTTGTACACAAAATTAATCGTTATATACAGTATCGTGAAGAAAACCTAGACCAGCTACTGGAAAAATGTATTTCACAACGCATCATTATTTTGTGAATGCAATTAAAAGTATCAGTTAAAATAGGTTATTACCATATTATGTACTGCTTTAAATCCTACAACTTCTATTCGTAACCTTTTCGTGTATTGTTTGAAATAACGATGATATTTCAGGTGGATAGAGTTCGTGAGCCACATTGTATGCCCTCACAACGTGTCAAGTGAATATCAAGGCACACGTGCTGATTGTTTTTAGGTAGAGAGCACCACAGCCAAAGGGTTAATACGACCGATTCAATGTAATCGTCAAAAGGCTCGATTATTCCTCGAGTCAGCATCATAGGGCAACACCCAGACGTCCAAGCGAGCGGTTTCGAATTGTTGACCAGCGCCAGGTATCGAGGGAAATAAGGTGTCGGGGTTGTTGGCAAGCGGGCTCAAAGGAGCCCAGGAACTGGCTCGAGACGTATTCCCCGGTCGGCCGGCGTCGACCACCATGGGCATCGCCCACGTACCCGATCGTGCCTGGACAGCGGCGGCGTAGTCGCCTGGCCAATCGCCGTCGCGTTTCAGACCGTATGCATGCATTCATGTATGAGCCGTGAGAACCTAACTGTGAACGTAGCCCGTTGTCGGGGGC